GTGAAATATATATTATTGGTTAATAACTCAAACTGCAGTCTGGTTTCTCAGCTGCAAAAAGCACATAGGCAGGGGTCTTTAACATATATCAGCATATGAATTAACCTAGCTAAGGATTTCCAGAACTCAGCTACAGGGCCTGGAGGCTTTTTGCATAACAAAGACCCGCAGTAGCAAGCTTCAGTTGTAAACAGCACGGAGCTGCAGCCTAGAGATTGTGTGTGACAAGTTAATTTGATTTTAGTCTAGCTGACCAGGGGGATAAAAAATAAATAAAAATAAAAGCCTCTGATCTAGTAGGACACCAGTAACATAGAAAAGACAACAAGCCCAGCTTCCCTTTCAGTAACTCTTCACATAGCTCGGGAGGCCCTGCCAGCCCTGGGGCCCTAGACGGGGCTGTGGGAACATCCCGCCCTCCACCCTTGCTGCAGTGCTATATACTGCACAAGGCGAGCACACAAGTAAAATTACCTATTAAGATAGAGGGTGAAATAAGAGTCTTCCCAGACAAGGACATCCTCAAAGAATACACAAAAAGAAACCCAGCCCTACAAAAGTTTCTTGATGATCAAATATGGGCAGAAGATAAACAATCACCGAGGGCAAATAATAGACCATTACATAGAAAAACTCCACCCATGGGATGACAAAGAGGAAACAACCTCCAGGATAGCATCAGCTCAATAGCAGAAAGAAGGCAAACATAAACCACACACACAACACAAGCGGATAAGAGAGGTAGATAGGAAAATACCCAACACAAAAGGTATAAGATGACATCAGAGTCCACAGATGGATATAATAACACTGAATATCAATGGCCTGAACTCAGGCATTAAAAGGCATAGGATAACAGACTGGCTCAGGAAACATAACCCATCGATCTGCTGCCTCCAGGAGACTCATCTCAAACTTGAAGACAAAAACAGGTTGAGAATTTAAGTTTGGAGAAAATTATAGCAAGCAAATGGTAATGCAAAAAAAAAAAAAGGAGGGGTAGCGATCTTAATATATGCCCAAATTGACCTCAAGATACAGGCCTTAACAAGAGACAAGCCTCCACTATATAATGCTCAAGGGAACAGTAGACCAAGAACCAGTGAGCATAATAAACATATGTAGCAATGATGAAAAATACAACTTTTCTCTAGTTCCTAAATGCTTCCTCCCCGCCCCCACTATCATGATCCGAATTCTACCTTGCAAGTCTGGCTGGACAAGAGGATATACACTAGTACAGATAGGAACTGGAAACACAGGGAATCCAGGGCGGAT